TTTGGGGAAGGATTTATGAGCCAGAAATGTGGATGAAGACAAAAGTATATATGGTGCTCACATATTAATGATAATTTTAGTTTCATCATATATTAACTCTTTAAAACACTTCTTTTCTTTTGTTTTGATTAATGCTTATTATAGGAACAGCACAGCTGAATGGAAAATCTAGAATTTTGTCTCCCATAAGCCTGTGTGCTTGCTTCCTGCCTACCATGCTGATATGACCATTGTAGCAGACACCCCTGCCCAGTTTATTAGCAGCCTATATAAGTGGCATGAGCTTATTGCTTCCCCATAGTTTGGCTGTATTATATTAGGTGTCTGACTAAAGCCTACATGACTCATATTGGCATGTCAGATGGCAGAGTTGGGCGAGCACAGCTCCTTTGCCAATGGCTGCCACAGAGACCTAAATCATGGTCTGTGAAGTGGTAGGGCCCTGCTGAATTAACTTCCAGCAGAGGTCAGTGTGATCCCAATTAAATTCTTTTCCCTGAATTATGGCTTCCCTCACTGACATAATGGGTTGCTAATTAACTACTATCCAGTCCTGATCTGATCTCTCCTGCAAGAAAAGCAGTGCCTTCCTTTTACAGCCTTGCCTGTGATAACCGCTATCACCAGATGCCTCATACACTATAGCCAGATGTCTCACGCTTGTAATCAATAAATATTGGAGGCTTTGGGTGCTTTCTGTCTTTGTTTCCCAGGGCAGCTTGGACTACCCTAGAGCCTCACTTTCTCTTTAAGTCTTGTTTCTGTGTCTTCTGTTCTCTCTCGCTTCCATCGTATTGCCTTGCTGGAGATTGAGACCTACAGCCAGTGCTCTGGATAGACCATTATATTGAGCTTTGTGTTTATCGAGCATTTATTTTTTATCTTTATCATACACGTGCCTAAGTAATATAATCATGCTATGCACCCCCTGTTAAAATTTCTCCACAAAAGAATTCTTCATTTTGATACCCACATATCAAAACCCTTAAATCTCTCATTTTACATTTATGTCAGTAAAATGTACATTTATGTATTTTTCCAAAGCAGCTATGCCAAATTAAACTCAAATTAGCATGAAGGTTGTCACCAATGTATGTGTCCTCCTGAGAAAAGAGACCATCCCTCCATGTGGAATTGGGCAACTATGAGTTAACTGTGTTATTAGGCAACTATGGCTTAACTGTGCTGTTAGGCAACTATGGCTTAACTGTGCTGTTAGGCAACTATGGGTTAAGTAGGTAACTATGCTCTTTGTACAATGAACCTTAGTGGCCATGACAACTTCCGTAATCTGTCACCAAAGGAACTTAATGTACTCAGAAAGTCCTGTCAGAACTCTTTCCTCTGCCCCCTCTCCACTGGTCTGCTTTTTGTAAATCCTGCTTGCTATATTACCAGGGAAACTCCAATGGAATTAAGCTTCACAGATGTAAAAAGACATATATAAGGAAGCACAAACTTCTATTCAGGGCTCTCAAAACTGACAGGAGTCACTCACTGAGCCACCACCATCATTAAAAGCCACTTTTTGCTCCTATCTTTGTGTTAAAGAGTTGTCTGTCCAGGGCCCCCACTGTTTCTTGCTTCACTCCAACTCTTTTTTTTTTTTTAAGATGGGACTACTTTTATTTTTCTTATGTATTACATCTATATATATTTGAATACTCGATCAAACAATGTCATCATTTTTGTTTTTAATCATTAGTCTTTTTTTAAAAGGGTTAAGAGAAGAGTAAGAATCTATTGCATTTGCCGAGGTATTTTTTCCAGTTGTGTTGCTCTTCTTATGTTCTTGAAGTTCCCCGTTTCCCTCTAGTATTACTTGAAAATTTTTCTTTGCCATTCTTTTAGATTAGGTCTACTGGTAATGAATTCTTGGTCTTCCTTAATCTGAGAATGTCTTTTTTTCACCTTCTTTCCTGGAGGATATTTTCAGAGGAGATAGGATTCTGGGTTTATAGTTTTGTTTTGGTTGTTTTAAGGAATTTAAAATTTTTATTCTTCTAGTTTCCGAAGTTTCTGATGTTCCCCATAAATTATGTACCATTAGTTCACAGTCCCATTTCAGAGTTTTTTCTTTCTTTGTCATTAGTTTTCAGAAGTGATGTGTCTGGATGTGGATTTCACTGGGTTTACTTTGAGGTCCCACGAGCTTCTTTTATCTGTAGGTTTATGTTTTGCCAACTTGGCTTCTTTTAATAATCTTTCTGAGACACACTCTTTCTCCCTTCTTTGATGATAAGGATGTTGAACGTTTTAGGACTATCTTATAGGTCCCTAAAGGTCTGTTCATTGTTCACTTTTTCTCATTTTTTCCACTCTATGTTGTTCAGAATGGATAATTTCTATTGATCTATCTTTAAGTTCAATGACTTTCTTTTTATCATTTCCATCTGGCTATTGATTCTACTTGGTGAGATTTTATTTCATTTATTGACTCTTTTACTTCTAAACTTTCCTTTTGGTTCTTCTGAGTAGCTCCTGGGCCAGCAAATCACACAGTGAGTTCAGGTCACACCAAGGGCAAAGCTACAGGAGGTACATTATCTCTGAGGCAGGAAACCTACTTGGACTGGCTCTGCTTCTCCAAAGCAGGGACCTGAGAAGATCACATCAGATGTTGGAAAGTCCTGTTGCCTCAACTGTGAAATGGGGTCAGTGCACTTGTTCTGACTATCTCAAGGGGTGACTCAAGGATCACCTGAGAGGAGGCCTTGTACAGCTTCCAGACAGAGCAGTGCTGGAACTGTTTGTCATTCCCAAGTCAGTGGCTGTTTATCATCCCCACTGTCCCTGCAGAATCCTTTTGGAAAATTCCAACCTTGTCTCAATTGAAAGAAGACAGCAAAGAAAGGGCCAGTCAGTGGCCAGGCAGAGAAGTAGAGTAGAGAAGACAAGAGAGTTAAATACAGCTTTAAAAGCCAGTCCCTGTGGTGTAGGCCTGTAATACCAGCACTCTGAGAAGCTGAGGCAGGAGGATCACAAGTTCTAGCCCAGCCTGGGCAAATTAGTGACTTAGTAAGACCCTGTCTGAAAATAAAAAATAAAAATAAAAAAGGGATTGGGGATTCTTAGTAACACACCCACACAGCCAAAGGGTCAGGTGGGTAGTAAGAACACAGAAAAGGATGTACAGTGATATAAATTTGATAGAGCTATTGAAAACTACAGCCTTAACTTTAAAAAATGATGGACTTAGTTCATTAATTTGCCTGTCAAGACAGGCTGTGGTTCCAGAGAAGACACTTTGTCCAGGTTCCTGATTGCAGTAGCTACACAATCCAGACAGAATGAAAGGAAGTGATTTGAAACAATTGTTTGAAAAGTAAATGGTTGGAGCAAACTGGACAAGAAGACAAAGTTTTAGCAAATAAACTCAAACTTTTTAAAATCATTAATATATGTTTGCTGTACACTGTAGGTGACTCCAGTCTCAAGCCCCTATTCAGAGTGCCAGCTGTAGGCAACTCTAGGTCCCAAGCCCCATGCCAGGGCCTCACCTGCAGGCAACTCACCAGGCCAATTTTTTGGGACCTAGGCCCACTACTTTGTTCTTCCCTGCCCCAGGGATGAAATGGATGAATGACAAAGAGACACAGAGTCAGTTTAACATGCAGGCAGCCAGGGGCCTTGTACCTCTAGTAGACAGAGGAGCTCTGATGTTTTGGCTCACCTTTTATTCATCCAAACACAGGCACAAGTAATCAAAGTAACACAAAATTCATTTAGTTTCCAATATCCATTAGTACAGTGTCCAGTGAAAAACTTAACCTCAGCTGTCTTAACTTTTCCCTAATATGTAATCGCCCTTTGTTCAGCCTTTCTCCTCTGTGCTCACAAAGGAGGCCAGTTAGGCCTTAATTATCCTCTGGTCCTCAACCGTACATAATGATTGTATTCATCATGAGGAATTAGTACATGTACATAACTCATCTTAATTCTTTTTTAAATTCCCTTGACATTATCATTTGCTTAACATTTGCCACTAAAATGGATATAAAATGATGCAGGGTCATGACTTACAGTCCTCAAAAAGCCAGGGAAGTTGAACATTTCTATTAAAACATGTTTATTGAATGTATTTTCCTCTATATTTTGCCCTTTTTTGTCTTTTTTATTAACTGTGGTTTATATATTCTTGGTATTAATACTGTTAGTTATAGATGTATGAAGTATCTTAACCCAGTTCATTTTTTTCATTTTCTTTATAGTGTTTTGCCAAACACAAGTCCATAATTTCAGTGTAGGATTTTTAATTACTTGTTTTTTCAGTACACATTTTTTGTAATGTTTAAAGGAAACCCTACTATAATAGCCAGCCTCTCGAATGATCCTCAATGATTATCATCTTCTATTAATCAAACTTTTAGTTAATTCCTCCTGTATTATATTAAGTTTGGTCAACATGACCAGTGGAATGCAGAGGAGGTTACAGCATGTAACATTAAAGGGGTTGCTGCTATCATGGCCCTTGCTCTAGTGGAAGGCAGCTGCCATATTATGAAGACTCACAGTACCTTTACAGAGCCTCCCACATAAGAGCAGCTGAGCCACCTAGCCATAGCCAGTGCCAAGTCCCCTACCACATGAGTGAGTCATCTGGAAAGTAGACCCCTCTGCTCCTGTCAGCCTTCAGATGATTGCAGTTCTAGTCACAATCTTCACCAAAAAGATTAATCTGCAGCATATAAGGAAAAATTATCATCAATACTTATAGATCTTCAAACAGACAGCATAGTATATTTTCTGGAACCAGGAATGAAAAAAGGAAAGAAAAGAATGAAAAACAATTGAAAGAACAGAACCAAGGGAGAAACACATTCTATCATTAGTGAAAAAAGGGAATTACAAGAGGGAACAGACTGAGAGGAGGGATTAGAGGTGAGAAGGCATTGAACATTTACATGAATCTTTACAATGAAAGGATTATGTGAACATTAGAAGACCTTATCATTTCACAATTTCTGGAATTTTACAGATATCAATGAATAAAGTTCCACTCATAGGTAAATCTTCTTCATCTCACATATTGAATTTGTATTTTTATCACAGACAACATCATTCCAGCCCCACTGCTTCCAGAAAACTATTGAACCACACTGTTGTGAAGAATGATTTGGCTCCTTTAAGTGCCAGAATCTAGAGAGAAACAATAGTAGAAATTCATTAATGTATGTGCAGTCGCTGATTAGAAAGTATTTGGAGTGAGCAGAATGAAGTTGAGGGTGAGGGCATTTCAACAATTGCTCCCCCTTTTCATGCTGCCCTCCTCAAAATCCTCCAGTACAGACTCACGTGTTTACATGTGCTCCTTTAACATTCTCCCGAAAGGATTTTTACAACACAGTATGCCCTTGTACCTTTGTATTACAACCTAATCTTTGCTTTCTCCTCTTTACAAGATCATTGTTCTGACCTAGGTTGTTGAACAATTCATTTCTTCCTAGCACGTAACACAAGCTGCCTCCTGTCACCCATGTAGTCATTCCTAAATTTCTCTCTTCTTCTAGAGCTGCCTTAAAAGAGTGAAGGTCTCCTCACTCTGAACATAAGATTTGACCCTGCTTCCATGGAATAAAGCATAGGTTTGAGAAGGGAAGCTGGACATTGTGTTTTGGAATTAAATGATTTGATTTTACTACTAATTCAGTTAGATAATGATCAAGTAATCTAATCTTATCAGGTATTTAATTCCTTATATACAAAAATAAAAATCATAAAAAATCCTCACAAGATTGTGTGAGGGTAAAAGAAGATAATGTACAATTAAATTATATTAACAGCTATAAAAATAGAATCATTGTGTAATGATTCTACTATATTTGCATACAGTTCTGACACATTTTAAATCCTAAGATTAATTTAAGTCCCTTCTTGTGTTTTGAGGCAGAAAAGTCCAAATGGCTTAAGAGTACTATCTTTGTAGTTAGATATGGGGTTGAAATTCATTCTTTTGGGCCAGGATTTAGCTCAGTGGTTCCGCCGCCTGCCTCAAAATTCATTCTTTTATCTTATTAATCTATTAATCTTCAATAAGTTATTCAATTTTTATCTGTATAATGAGTTCTAAACCAGGGAAGTTTTATGAAGTTTAACTGAGATGATGCATAAACTTAGTAAGAGTTTAATAATTCTTAATTCTGTTATCATTATAATCATTAATATTATCATAGTTAACAAAATGTCCCTGAATTGTCTATGTAAAATGTCCTATAGTTCTTTTATCTAGGTCTGCATGCACCTGACATTTTCCTTCAAAGGTGTTTGATTGATCCATTGCCAATTGTTTTTACCTTGTGGATCAGAGAGCCCCAGAAAATAGGAAAAGGACTTATTCAGCTGCAGGACAATGAAATTCTGCATGAAATAAAAGGCATTATAAATTTTGGAATTCCCCTATTGATCAGGATAAAGATTCTTTAAAGACTTTATACCTATACTTAGAAGAAAACACTATGCAAGAAACAGTCACAAGTTGGTGCACTAACCAAAACACAGGTCAAAGCATCAACATCCCTGTAGTGGAGAAAAGACCCTAACCCATAAATTTCCATCATTCATGATTTCTTTACTAAGACAGAATAGTTTTCAAATGATCGTGGGTTAATTTTTAAACTTTTAATCATTTTTTAAAACATTTTGTTAAATGCTAGTTAATTCTCTGTAACTAGCCTGTGACTGGGTTAAGGGATGTTTAAAATAAAATAATTCTGGCCGGGAAAGATTAGCATCTGAACCTATAGGCTCAGTAAAATGGCCTCTTCAATGTGGGCAATGATCATGCAATCTTGTGAAGGCCTTAATAAAACAAAAGGCAGAGGAAGAAGTAATTCATCTCACTCCACTTCCTAACTGCCCACTTGAGTTAGCAACTTTCTACTGCCCTTGAACTAAGATTTCAAGCATTTGCTTTCCTTGCTATCATGACTTCAGCCCTGGACTGGAGATCGCAGGAAACAAAGTCAGCATACAAAAGTCTGTAACACTCATCTACACTACAGTAAATGATCTGAAATGGAAATTAGGAAAATAGTCTTTTTTTACAATAAAAGAATAAAATATCCAGCAATAAACTCAACCAAGATGGTGCAACCTAAAGGACAATCACTGAAGGAATGAGAGCCCAAGTGTTTTTAGTGATCTCTTTACAAACCAAACCAATCATAGCAAAACAAAAAGTCTATGAGGTCATGCATGATTTAATTGGCTTAATTATGGTAATCATTTTATAATGCATGCATATGTCAAATAATCATATTTACATATTATAAACATTTTTTTCTCTCCATCACAGATTAATAAACCAAAAAAAACCCCAATATTGAGGGATATATACACAATGAAGTATTATCAAGTTTTGAAATGGGAGAAAAATCCTGTCACATGCTACAATGTTGATGAACCTTGAGGACATCACGGTAACTGAAATAAGTCAATTGACAAAAAGATGTGTATCATATGACTCCACTTATTTGAGAAATTAAAGCTGTCAAATTCACAGGAGCAGGAAGTAGAAGAGAGTCTGATAGAGCCATTTAGCCCTAACCCTAACCCTAACCTAAATGACCAGTAATTGTTTAATGGGTATAGTTTCAGTTTTCCAAAATGGAAAAGTTCTATGTGACCTTAACAAACACTAGTGAATTTATGCTTAAAAATGGTCAATATAACAAATTTTATTTTGTATTTTTCCAACAATTAAAAAAACTTTAAGGAAAAATAAAGTACCTGCTCTCCTTCCATATTGATCATCACCAAATGTGCTCCCATTTCAACACATGTCTGCTCACTGTTATCCCAAACATCCTTTCCAGTAGAAATGAAGTAGCAGCTGGAACCAAAAGACTTCCACGTAGTTGGACAACAACCCCAGACTTCTGTGTTACAAGAAAGAAACGTGACTGCAAAATATGACAAATAAGATAAAAGAGATGTGTTTTTCACATGTAAAATTCCAAGGATAAAGGGTTGTTTTCTAGCGTTGGCTTCTTAATTCAAGTGTTTACTCTTCTCTGAATTATGTACTCTGGGGCCAGGGAGTTGATTTTAAGAAAATAATATTTAACATTAAGTTCTCAATTTTTACTAAGTTATCTTGCAGAATTTTCCTGAATTTTTTTTTCAAAAAAGCTCGTTATTAAATTTTGGTTCTGTCTTTCTTTTTACATGTTATTTCATGATTATATATTGCAAGCAAGAAGTTCACTTTTTAGTTTTAAGTTACCAGCACAGGTAAACTTGGAAACCAGTTTCCCAATAATTTTGTACAAGGAAACACTCCTTACAAGTGGAATTAAAACTATTAAGCTTAGGCTTCATTAGGTTCTAGCTGTACTATGTATGTATGTCTTCCAGCAAGTTAATAACTTCATTTTTTTCTCTTTTTTCCATTTATATATTTATTTACCATTGTTATTTTGTTTTGGTATGGGGGATTGAACCCATGTCCTCACACATACTAAACGAGGGAAAATTAAACATCCAGCCCTTTGAGTCTCCATTATTTCTTCTTTAGATATAATAATGTGTACTGCCAATTTCATAGAGACAATGAATCATATAAATATGAACCATTTTAATGTGGGCTTAATTTAAAAAAATATTCAATAAGTTCAACATAGTACTATATTTTTATCAGATATATATGTAACATTATATATATTATACACTTATACAAGAATGTCTAAATAAGTTGTATACTTTGCTAGATTTAAAAAATTTTAAAGGCATGGTCTTCTAGAGATTATATCAAGACCCATATCACTAATATACATTGATGTTATTATACGTAGATACATATAATTTTTTTAAGTTGTTACATTTTAATATAAAGAATGAAAACAATTTGCAGACTTATTCTTCTCTTAGTAACAGTATAAAATGAAAAATATAGACCATATCGCTAATCATTTTAATACTGGCTCCTTCAGAAATATATTTTAGTTTGTATTTTGTTCATATAGAAATATATTTTAGTTTGTATTTTGTTCATTATTAATGACTGTTCACATTAATGACTGTTTTTATAATATTCCTAAAAAATATATTAACATTATTTGAATTTTTAAATCTAATTATGTGACTTTTAATAGGGCATACTGGCTTTACTTATACAATTTTATATGGCAAAGATTTTTCATAATTGAAATATGCTAAATATTTAGCTTCAAAATTGAGAAAAATATGTATCAAAAGTTATGTTCAGTAAAAGTATTTGTCAAAAAAATTATACTGACATTAATTTTATTTTTCCAGTATGTCCTGAGACTAATTGCTGACTAAAGTGCTTTGTAAATTAAAGAAATAACAGATGTAAATAAAAATTGCCTGATAAAACTTAATAAAATTTTTTTATATATTCCCCAGAATGGAGAAAGCAAATGACTACTGAGTGAGAAATAACATATATATTTTGTAAATTATTTTATTTTTGTTCTTTAGATTCAACAGCATTGAAGAATGATATAATCTAATTCTCAGTTCATAGATCATTACAATTTCTAATAGTTCACTATATGATCTTAGGCAGATTAATGAAAGAATACAAAATTGGTGACATTTTAGCAAAGCTCTTTCCATACCTATCTATGTATTTGGATGGGAAAGTTTTATCACTTTGTGTCATTAAATTGGAAATCAAATAGAATTAATATTGATATCTATTGCATTCTAACAAAGACATTATTTAATTATGGATAAATCAAGTTACATTTTACATCCCCCTTTTTATTAAGAGATGAACTTCCAATTGAGTGTTACTTTATGAGCACTAGTTTATCAAAATTTAAAATAAATTACTGATGTTTGAATATTGTGTTCTGATAATGATTGTAACAATAACTACTATAATGAAAATTTAACTTTTAAAGTCTCATAGCCCACATCAGGTGAAAATATTAAACATATACTTATGTACATATTTTGGCAGAGAAGGGAAATGTCACATAAATACAAAACATCTAAATGCTAAATAATACAAATTTATTCTTTTGTTTACTGAATCTGTGTCAAGTAACATTTTGTTGTGGTTTGTAGACACTAGTAGATACATTGTTTTAAAAAATATTGTACTGTCAATATTTCAAATGTTCTAGAAATTGAAGCCTTTGTTTCTTTAATATGATGCAATCTTTTCAATTTGAAATTAAATTTCAGAAGACACATGCAATCTTTCAAGCCTTTTTTAGGGTTAGCCAAGCAAGACATTTCAAAGACCACTAGTTCAGGCAGAGTCCAAGCTGACTAAAGGAGCTCTGACTCTATCCACTCATTTCAATGTCACAACACTCCTTTCGCTGAGTCTAATGGGAAACAAAATGGCCAACACGTCGGTGTGGATTTCAATAACGTTCATAACACTGATGAAAATGGAAATTTAGTACTTGAACTCTTATTTTTTCATTTTCATTGAAGTCATGTAAGAAGATATTTTTATAATTTAAACGCTTATTTGCTGATATGATACACAAAACAATTTTAACTTGAGATTGTTTATAATTTGAATTAATTGTACTAAACAGCATTCTTGGTTATAATATTAGGTTAAATAAGAAAAAGTGTACAGATGGAAGTGGAGCCAATTTAATTAATATCCATCTCTGATCAATTTCAGATCATTCTGATGTCTAAGGCCAAAGGGTCCATTACTAATTTCCAAGGAGATATTTTAAGACTCTATTTGCTATTGCAGGAGTTCCTTCAAAAATTGGGAGGTGAACTTTCCTAGTGGAATTATGTTTTCCTTACAAAAAGTCACCTTCACAGTAATTTGACAGAAGAATCCCTTGGAATTAAAAACAATGAAGAAAAGATAGGAAACCATTTTTTGTGTTGCTATCCAACACTTTTTTGCCAAATGTCAGAAAGAGAGAAAGAGAGGAAAAGGGAGAGAGGGAGAGGGAGGGAGAGAAGGGAGAAAGAGAGAGAGAGAGAGAGAGAGAGAGAGAGAGAGAGAGAGAGAGAGAATTAATACCAATATCTATGGAAATACAAATTAGCTTCTGCCCTCTCTTCACTTCTCAAAGGCATCTTCATAAAAGCAACATCATGAAACAGTCCTTGAAAGACAAGAGCCTTACACCTGTCTAGATTACATTTCCTTACTCTGAATGATTAAGACCACAATACACACATATTTTGGCTCTCTTTGGCTTTTCTCACCAGTGTCAGTCAACTATGGTCCTGAATGTATCTCTCCTAACTCTCCACATATGACATTACCAGGAGTGTCTTTTGAGATGAGGATAGTAAAGCCTGAGACAATTCGATGGGTGATAAGCTGGCACTTGGAATGTAAAGGAATATCAAAAGTTAAACATAAAAAAGAGAATTAAATATACTTCACAAAGGATGAGGATAAAGTGGAAATTATAAGATTTGTTATGAATCATTTCCAGAGTTGACTTGAACAAAATATACATGTATATGTTGATAATATATTATTTTTTTAGTACTGGAACTCAAACTCAGGACCTTGCACTAGCCCCGCAGGCACAGCACCACTGAGCTACATCCCCAGCTCTTGATAATATTTTTTAAGATAAGGAAACCTGGAGAAGGAATTATTTGGGGCATATTCAGAACCTAATATAAGCATGTCAGTTTAGAGAAATATTGATATACAAACAATCTATCTATCTCTTTCTCTCATTCTCTCTCTCAAACACACACATACACACACACACAGAGACTATAATACACCAGTCTTGATAACAGCCCTGCTCTCTGAGAAAGAAATGTATAGATAAGGATTTACCTTTCACCCTGTTCCTTCACTGAAGCAGGTTAGACTTGAATGGTAGCTATGCAGTAGACAGCCTTTTGTCATATTGCTCACTTGCAAACAGAAAAGTCACTGTGGAAAAAGAAAGAAGACGAGAGTCTACCCACTCCATTACCACAGAGCCCGAAGCTCTCCTCTGTGCTAGGCTCCTCACCTCTCTCACACACATCCTTTCTCTGTGCAAATCCAATAAAGACCAAGCTAACACACTGCTTGTTTATATTTACTTATCTCATGTGACTGCCTATACAACTGTCCATTTATTTTTTTGTTTCTTTCCCCTACTAAGTTAAGTTTGATATTCTAGGCCAAGTCTTATTTCTGTTTTGTGCATCAATTACTGAGAAAAACCTTAAAAGAGTTACTGTCACAAGCTCATCAACAATATTTATTGAAACACTTTGTATTGTTCAACTTTATTTTAATAATCTTGAAGGAAGCACCTAGGTTATGTTGATGTTTTCTAAATATTTCTGACAATAAATAGCATTAGATAAATATATGGGGAAATAGCAAATAAATTCAGACTTTAAATATTTAGAGATATTTAAATGTCTCAGGTAAAAATTAATAATTTTTTCATGAGTGCTTGTTCAGTAAGACATATTCTCACTTAGGTCCCGACTTGACTCTTTGGCTCTTCATACTTCTATCTTCTACTTTCCTCCCCTTCTTTCTCCTTATCTCTCCTCTCATACTAGTACTGAAGAACAATATTGTCAAACCCTCTACCATTGTCTTAGTTAGACCATCTTTGTTTTAGGGTGCTGAATTTCAGTTTCTTTTTGACTAATGAAATAACTATTTTTAACAACTATCTCCTTGTGCTTGACCATAGGAATTAAAATAGATTCTAAAAAAAAAAAAAAGAGTCTAACATTGGTAAAAATACCTTCGTGTTTTACAGAATGTGAGATGTATTTCACCTCAGAGGCAGCTACCAATATGAGCCACTTGACATAGGAAGTCATTATCACTCTCTCCCAGACTATTCAATATCTATTTTAATTACCACATCAGAACAGAGAATCAAATTGTAGATTGGAGAGCACAAAGACTTTTGAGATATCTCAGAATGAACTGGAAACATGTATATACAGAAACAAATGAGACAGGGAAGGGATATTCTATTTCCTTAATTCTACGTTACCTTGTTTGAACACTTCTTCATCCTATATTGGAGAAAACTCCTACATGAATCAAAGACCCTAAGGTAAACTCTCCCCATTATAAAAGCAATTACAGCTGCAATTGCAATACAGGGTGTTTGTGGCTGGAGAATACAGAGCCACTGGCAAGTGCAGCTCTGGAACATACAGCCTTGGATGATGGCTACGAATGACACACCTTCCTCTGTGAGGTCATTGTGCAGGAAATGCTCTCAGAACCAGGTAAAGCTAATCAGTTGTCGAAGGAGAAAGAGAATGAAATAGGGGAGGGGAAGGAGAAATCAAGAAAAGCAGGTCTTTCCTAGCAAGAGCTGACATATTGGTGAAAAGGAAAATATCCACACGAGAGGAAAGGAACTGGAGAGGCAGCACCCAGTGAGGACCTCACCCAAGTAGCCCACTGAGAAATAAACACCCAGGAGATTGATGAAAATTACAGCCCAGAACCAGATCCTCTACCAGCAGGCTATGTTCTCTGTCAGATTAGGGAAACAAAGGCAGTTACTGAAGGGCCAAGAGCCAAAGCCCCCAAGGAGCTGAGGGCAGTGAATAAACCAAAGGAAATTAGACTAACTAAAAATTCCAAGCAAGAAGAGAGCTCACAAACTCCCCAAGAATAATCAGGTAGCAATTCTGAAGCCCAGAAAAATCTGACAAAGCACATCCACACATGAGTATAATTTTTATTTCCTTATTCTTTCTTTTTCAGTTTTACATTCTTTCATTGATGTACTGTCATTCTCAAAACATCACTTTTGTCTCCTATTTCTAATATTCTTGCATTTTATGTTTGGTTTCTTATTATTTCAACTGCTTCTCTCTCTGAGACACTATTCTTTCCTTCAAATCCTAAGACTACTCTTTGGGTCCCATCTCTTGGCTTTGATCTGTCTGTTGACTTACCTCTTCTCTCCAGTTGACCCTCATCATCTCATCATACAATTCATTCTCTATTCTGAAATGAAGAAAATAAAAGCTTACCTCTGCCTTGAGGTTGCTCTTCTTGTACAATTGTGTGGGTCTCTGTGTTGAGAATCTCTTGTATTTCTCTCCCTGAGGATGTTTCCTGAAATGTGACTGATGATTAAGAAGCCAGAGCTCATAGACAATCTCTCACACACTCAATGTGAGTAAGAGATGTCTACTCAGTGTACAAAAGAGAAGTCACAGTCGGAACTAAAATAAATAGTAATTTAAACATGTGGGAAGAAAGAGAAAATTGGAAAACATACCCTAAACTTTTCTTAGAACTTTGACAAAAGAATCCACTGGACAATGACCCCCCCCCCC